TTTAAATCACTTAAATATAAGAAAATAAAAGATTTTATTTTACCTTCATGTATTCTTTCTCCCATACTCTTCTTTTCTTTAAAGAGATCTGATTTTCTGACCTATATCATTTTCCTTCTCTCTGGAAAACCTTTTTTTGAAAAATAAATATTTCTCACAAGGCAGATTTACTGCTGACAAATTCCCTCAGTTTTTGTTTGTCTGACAAAGTCTTTATTTTTTGTTCACTTCTGAAGGACTGTTTTGCTGGATACAAATTTCTAGGTGAGTGGTTTCTTTCTTTCAATACTTTACACTCTTCTCTTCTTGCTTGTATGGTTTCTGATGAGAAATTCAATGTAATTCTTATGGTTCCTCTATAGGTAAAGTGTTTACTCTGGGTGTCTTCAAGATTTTCTCTTTGTCTCAGTTTTCTGTGTTTGAACATGATATGCGTAGGTGTATTTTGGGGGTATTTACCCTGGTTGGTATTGTCTTTCTAGATCCTGGATCTGTGGTCTGGTGTCTGTCATTAATCTTGGAAAATTCTCAGCCATTCCTACTTCAACTATTTCTTCTGTTCCTTTTCTTTATTCTCCTTCTGGTATTCCAATGGCATGTATGTTAGAGCATTTGAAATTGTCTCATAGTTCTTGGATATTATTTTCCATTCTTTTACAGTCATTTTTCTCTTTGCATTTCAGTTTGGGAAGTTTTTATTGACATGCCTTCAAGCATACTGATTCTTTCCTTGGCCACTCCCAGTTTACTGATGAGTGTATCAAAAGCATTTCTTTTTAGTGTTTCTGATTTCTTGTATCTCCTTCTGATTCTGAGTTTATATCTATCTGCTTACATTACCCATCTGTTCTTGCATATTGTATATTTTCTCTAATAGATTCTTTAGCATATTAATCATAATTATTTTAAATTCCATATAGCTGGTAATTCCAAAACCTATAGAGCTTGAGTTTGGTTCTGATGCTTCCTTTGTCTCTTCAGAGTGTGGTTTTTCTTTTAGCATGCCTTGTGATTTTTTTTTTTTTTTGAAAGCTGGACATGATGTATAAGTTAAGAGGAACTAAGGTAAACAGGGCATTAGTATAAGGTTTTATGTTAATCTGGCCAGGAGTTGGCTGTGTTTAGTGTTTACTCTAGCTGTAGGTGTCAGAGGTTTCAATTTCTTCTAATGTCCTTGTTTTTTCTCCCCTGTTTTTTTAGGTTTCCCTAAAAACTCCATAAATAGAGTCTGAGCCTTGCAAGTCTTCCAGCTGTAATCCATAGTTATTGTATCAAAGCCCTATTGATGTGGTGGGAAAGTGTGGGGCAAGGGAAACATTCTGTAATCTCATAATTAAGTCTCAAGTGTTTTAGTGTGCCTGTGTCCTCAGCCTATAACCTTCACAAGTGTTTCACAGCTTTCTTATTTTATCTCTTTCTCTCTTAGATGAGATAGGAAGGCTAGAGTCATCTGGAGTTGGATAATTTCCCTTCTAGCAAGCTGGAGAAGGATTTGGTAAAGTTGTTTCACTTGCTGGGTGTCCCTTTGTTAGGTAGATGCTCTGTATATATTTCAAAATGATTACTTTTCCCTTCTCCATGCCAGGAACAGGAGATTGTTTCTTGGCCCTTCCCCTTGAGAACCTAGTGGAATTCCTGGAGTTAAAAGTAATGCAAATGTGAGGGCCCCCATAGACTGAGGCCCCTAGAGTTTGTCAAACAATCTACATTCTGCTTCCAGAAATTTGTCAAGGTTACCACTTGTCCCTATCAGTTCATGGCTCCAGTGTTTATTATTCCTGATAAGCAGATCTGGGCTGTGATTCTCTGTAATCGCCTGTCTCTCCAGATTTGGGGGTTGCAGTTTACTCTGTGACTTCAGTTCTCTGATGGGTCCAAGAAAAGTCATTGCTGTTTCCTTTGTTCAGCTGTTTTTCTTGTTATAAGACAAGAGTGACAACTTCCAGGCACTTTAAATATTGGAGCTGAAAACAAGTAGCTTTTTTCATTCAATATTGTTTGTGAGTTTCATGCATGTTGATACCTGTAGTTATATTTTATTCATTTTCTATACTGTACAGTGTTCTGTTTTATGAATATACCATGCTTTATCCATTCTCCTGCTAATGAACAAGTGTGTTGTTTATAAACAATGCTACAGTGAGTATCTTTATAATCTCCTAATGTTCATGTGTAAGAGTTCCTCTAGGATAGATGCCTAGGAGTGGGACTGTTGACTTTTAGTGTATGAGCATCTTCTATTTTACTAGGAATTGCCACAATGTTCATAAAAGTGACTGTCTTCATTTATATTCACCCAGCAGCACATTAGAATTCTTACTACTCTGTATGTTCACCAATACTTGGCAGTGTCAGGCCTTTAAAGGTATGCCAACTTCCTGGGTATTAAATAGTTTTTCACTGTAGTTATATTTAGCATTTCTTTGATCACTAATAAGGCTTCATAGTTAATTGGCTCTTCATGTTTTCTGCCCTGTGAATTGCCTGTTCACATCTTCTGGTCATTTTTATTGGGTTGTTTGTATACTTCTTATTGGTTTGTAGGGAAAGATTTCCTTAAAATGACTCAAAAAGCACAAACCATCAAATAAAATACTGATGGCTTGATTACATTAAAATGAAAGGGGCACGTACTGCATGGAACACTGGGTGTTATATGCAAACAATGAATCATGGAACACTACATCAAAAACTAATGATGTAATGTATGGTGATTAACATAACATAATAAAATAAAAAAATTTAAAAAAGAAAAAAATGAAAGACTTCTGCTTAACAAAAGACGTCAGAAATAATGTTTAAAAGATAAGCCATGCACTGGACAAATATATTTGCTAAATAAGCAACACGTGTTTATATCCAGAATTTAAAAATAATTTCTTGGGGCACCTGGGTGGCTCAGTCGGTTAAGCATCTGACTCTTTATATCAGCTCAGGTCTTGATCTCAGGGTCCTTAGTTCAAGCCCATGTTGGGCTCCATGCCGATGCGTGGAGCCTATTTAAATTTTTTTTTTCTGTAAATAATATGACAAACTAAACAATCAAATAATGGGCAAAGAAATGGAACAGGCAAAACACACAAGATTACTGAAAGGCTAACAAATGTATGATTACAAGCATAACTTCACTGCAAATCAGAAACATGCAAATTAAATCAATGAGATACCTTTAAACATTTTATACTGGCAAAAATAATAAGTCCAATACTAAAGAGTCTTGGCAAGGATTGGAAGAAATTTCTGAAACCCTGCTCATGGAGTTGAATATATACATACCCTATATCACAGTAATTCCACTCCTAGGAATGTAATCTAGAACAGTAATTCTTAAAATGTCACTCTTAGACCAGCAGCATCAGCATCTCATGAGAACTTATTGGAAATGCAAATTCTCAGGCCCTACTCCACGTCTACTGAATAAAAAATTCTGAAGGTGGAGGCCAGCAATCTGTTTTTAACAAGACTTCCAGGTGATTCTGATGCATACTAACATTTGAGAATCACTGCAATAGGACAATATTTTTCCAACATTTTTGACTGAAATCTATAGGAAGAAATGCATTTTACATTCTGGCCCACATACATAATCACACACACACACACAAAACCAAACCAAAAGCTCTTTCCAGAAACAGTAATCACTGCTTAGAGTATTTTCTATTCTATTCCATTGTTTCATTAAAACAAACTGCTTGTTGTGACCTACTAATTCCAACCTAAAGTTTTGGTAACTGTCCTAGAGAAACTCTTGTACATATACAGCAGGAGATATGTACAATGCTTGTTGCAGAATTGTCTGTAATAGCAAAAATAAAAAGAAAATATCTTCAGGAGAATGGATAAATTATAGCATATTTCTACAATGGAATACTACATAGTTCCTTATATTATTAAAATAAGCTTCAAAAACATTATGTATATTGAGTCAAAAAAGCAAGTTGTAGAAGGATATATAGAGTATGATATCATCTAAATAGTTTTAAAATATGTAAAACTACATGTTGTTTATTAATATATAAATATGTAGTAAAAATATAAAAGCATGCATCAGAATGATAAGTAGCAAATTCAGGATAGTAGTTACCTCTGGAGAGGAGATAGGGAAATGGGATTGGTGAGAGATACATGGAAGTCTTCAGGTGTATCTATAAGGCTCTATTATTTTCCTAATTAAGCTGCCCTTGAACTAACAGCAAGAATATATTAGAATTGCAATCACTCAAAGGAAACTGCTTTAATATCCCTCATCTACAATGCATTTTTTTAAAATTCAGGGATAGCCAGAAGCTAACATTATTTTGTTTTGTTTTTTAAATTAAACACAACCAAGTATATGCTCCAGGGGCTTGTGTTGCCTCTTTGAGTGACATGACAATAAAGTTTTCCATTCTGGATGTAACATATACCAATAATGTGAAATAATGATGTGCTCAATAAAACAAGGATTGTTTACCACTCTACTTATATATTTGTCAATTTCTCAAGACTTAGACACTTCACTTTGCTGCTTAGTATCAGCAATTTAAAGTCATGTCGTATGAAAGCCAGGTGGAGCGTTCTAAAGAAAAAAACTCATGTAATAACAGTAAACCCTACTCACAACCAGGTGGCCAATTATTTATTGACTAATTGCAGAGGCACTATGGCTACCTGATAGGGTGGTCTTACAAATATTACTTGATTTATTACTAGCCTAGGAAACTGGAGGTTACTTTTCCTTCAATTCAGGACCTCTAGTAGATATGGACTAGAGTCTCATCAAGATTTCTTTAAAATTCTAAGGGTAGCTTAGGACCTTAGGAAACCACAAAGAACATCATAGGAAATATGCTACTTATATAGTACGCAGAGAATTAATAGTCAAAGTCAAGGAAAAACACAATCACAGTGCCTATGTCACAATTCTTTGGTAATCAAAGCTAATTTAAAAGTATTAATTTAGGTAGAGGTAAAGAAAAAGGAAAACAACCCATGTTTTTTTTTCTTGGTTTGGCCTATACCTTGTTTGGCTCCCCTGGATTATATGAAGAAAACATAGGAATTTTTCGGATCTCTTCCTCTGACAAACGATTTCTCTGGATCTCATCTTCTGGGACAAATTCTATTGGCTGCGTCAGCTTCTTAGGCCCAGTCCAACACTGCTCAGGTGAATTATCAATAACTTTTGCCACATGGAGACTGGGACCTTTACCCTGTGCTGCCTGTTTTCCCTTGTCCTGGAGTAATGACGGGTTCTCAGCTGTGCCACTATCTCCCACTGATGTAGCTGAGACCAGTGAGTGGGAAGCAAAGGGTTCACCTCTCATAAGTTGGAACTCTTCAAGACGTTTTTTCATTATCATCTCTTGGTAAAAACTTTCCAGGTTGTTCATGGGATCACCTTTGTTCTTCTTTTGGGGTTCATCTAGATCAAGACAAAGAGATAGGGAAGTTCTACAAAGCCTACCAACACAACCTTTGACAAATAAATAAAAATTAAATCTTGGATCTCAGATACAGAAACTCTGCTGGGGCAAGTTTGACAAATGACAATAGTATACAGCTATTTTAATGTAGTGCATCTCAAGCAAGGCTGGAACTATGGTGAAGCAAGTGAGGCACCTCAGGTGCAAAATTTAAGGAGGTACTCACTCTCAGAATCATGCAAGTACATGCACCTAACTGATAAAGACATTAAAAAATGTAATTAGTATGGCATTATCCCACTTGACAAAATTAATAATAATCCTTTTAGTATCATCTACTACGGAGTTCATATTCAAATGGCTCTGATTATCTCAGAGATATCTTTTTACACTTGGCTGTTCAATGCAGAATCTAAACCAGGCTTTGGCTGTTGTATCTTTTAAGTCTCTTCGATTTTAAAACAGTGCCCCTTCTTTTCCACCCCTCCAACTCATTTTTTTCTCCATCCCATTGAATTATTAGAGGAACCACATCATTCGTTCAGAGAACAAATGAAATTTGACTGATTATTCCTCATGTTATTGTTTAACTTGTTCTTCAATCCCCTCTATCTCTTACAAACTGGCAGTTAAAATTAGAGCTATGCTATCTAATATAATAGTCACTGGCCACACAAATCTACTTAAATTAATGTTTTAGATGTCAGTTCCCCAATTAAACTAGTCACATTTCAAATGCTCAACAGCCATATGTGGCTAGTGGATACCATAATGGGCAGAATACATAGAAACCATTTACATCATTGTGGAAAGTGGCATTACGATAGTGCTGATCTAGAGGTTTGATTAGATTCAGGTTCAATATTTTAGGCAACAATCATACATAGATAGATGTGTACTTCCTATTACATCATGTCATAAGACACATAATGTTTGGTGGTCCCACTTTAATGACGTTAAAGTTGATCAGCAGATTCAGGTGGTGTTAGTCTGATCCCTCCATTATAAAGTTTTCCCATTCACCTAATGGGTTTTGCATCCATTGATGACCATTGCCTAGATCTGTTAATTTATTAAGAAGTTGCAAAATGGAGCTCCTCTAATTATATTATTTATTTTGAATTTATTAATCCTATTATTTCTTTTGTATTTATTATCTGGAATTCTATAATGAACTTACCGTCAACTATTTGGTTTCCCCATATATAGTTCATACAGGAAAGGCAGGAGAAATGCTTGATTTTTTCCCAGTATTTACCAACTATGAGAGTAATGAGTTGGTACCTTAGAAATTTCCAGTGGTGATCAATGATTATTTTTAGTATAATTGTGAGATCATTTTCATATGTTTGATGTGTTTCAATTACATGTAATATTTATTCTTTTTAGTGGACAAATTATCCTACTTGGGACTAGTAAGTCCCTTCAAACTGGCTCCTGTGTTGCTTTCCAGTTTTTTGGCACAGCAAGATGTCACAAGTTCATTTTGAATATTTCCTGACTCAAACCTGATTATCTCTCCAAGGACCCCTGGCTCCTTTTAATGGGAAATAGTATTTAGAAACCACAATGTGTTGCTAGGTGTGTTCATAGCTGTTGAGTTGTTGTTGCTTCTAGGCCTTTTCAGTGGACAAAGCTAGGAAATTCTTTTAAAAGAAAAATAAATCATGAGTTCATACTGGTATTTCCACTTTAAATTTAAGATTACAAGTTTTTTACTCAAACTCCTTGATTTTAGACTTATATCTCTTTTCACATATGCTTAAAATATTGGCTCGATGATATTAACAAAATTATTTATTAGCTTTTTCCTATAACATATTCATAGAATTTTAAAATGTCAGTAACAATACTAATGTAACTATTAATGATAAAACTACTGAATACAGTTTTATATGTCTTTGCAGTTATTTTTGTCCTTAAAATATATCCCATTAGGAATGTACAAATGTTGTTCTAAAGTCACTTTACATAATTGTTTTTTTTCTGTATGGTTATGTTACCAACTTTATTTATAGTTAGGCTCATATGTTTCAGATTACTTATGAATTTTAGGAATTGATTATTTTCCTTTTTTATTATTTTTTATATTATGCAGAACATTTATATGAGTCTAAAGTGAAAACTGTGTTATACAGTACCTTCACAGAAGTCTCACCTCCATCTCTGTCCCCTTATCCCATCCCTTTCCTTTTCCATAAGTATAATTTTTATTAGGTTTTGACATTATGGTTCCATTATTTCTTTTTTGAAAATATAAGCAGATAGGTGTGCATACACAACACATATATGTGTGTATCTATATAACTCATTATTTACACCCCTTTTCTATATAAAAGGTAACTTACTATAAACACTGTTCTACAACTTACATTTTTACACTTAACAATACATCCTGGAGATAACATATTAACGTGTAGAGCTCTTCCCCTTCCCCTTGATAGCTTCACAGTACTCTACTGTGTGGATGTACTAATTTATTCAACTACTCCCCTACTGAGGCACATTAGTGCTATATCCAGTCTTTTTTGCTTTTATGAATAAGACCTTGACAAACAGCCTTGTGCATACAGGATTTTGTATTTTTCCAGTATGTCTTTGAAACAGATTACAAGAGGTGGCAGTGCTGAGACAAAGGGTAAATGTGTATGTAATTTTTCCTAATATTGTTAAATTCCACTCTGTAGTTGTATTATTCTGCATTTCCACCAGCAAGGTATAAGAATATTTATAGAAGGATTTCTTAAGACCCCAAAAGCATTAACCTAAGGAAAATATTGACAAATTCAATTACATTACAATTTAAAACTTCTGTTCATTAAAAATATCATAAAGAGATAGAAAAGTCATAGAATGGGAAAAGATATTTGCTGCACAAATAACTGGTAAAGAACCATTAAGAAAAGGGGCAGACAACTGAAAATATGCCTCACAAAAGAGCAAATATACATGGCTAATAAATATATGCAAAAATGTTCAACCATATTAGAATTCAGGGAAATGCTAATTAAGAAGGGGTTGGGATATTAATAGAAAACTGCCATACTGGCAAAAAATTAAAGGGGCGCCTGGGTGGCTCAGATGGTTAAGCGTCTGCCTTCGGCTCGGGTCATGATCCTGGGGTCCTGGGATCGAGTCCCGCATCGGGCTCCCTGCTCATCGGGGAGTCTGCTTCTCCCTCTGCCTCTGCCTCTCTCTCTCTCTCTGACTCTCATGAATAAATAAATAAAACATTAAAAAAAAATAAACTAATGTGTTTAAAAAAAAGAAAAATTAAAAAGAACACCAATATCACATGTCAGTGAAATTGTAGAGCAAATAGAACCCTCATACATTGCTGGTAGGACTGTGCACCCATAGTGCAAATCACTATAACATTATCTACTGATGTTGAATATATGCTGGTAATATGACCAATCAGTTCCACTCCTACATATATACCCTAGGGAAGCTTAGGCATATGTGTACCAGGATAAAATCATAATAATGTTTAGATCAGTACTATTTATATTAGCCTGATACTGGCAAAAATATAAATGTCCATCTAAGAATCAATTATAAAATTGTAGTCAGTTTATATAATGAAATACTATATTCTAACGAAAGTCAACAAATTTCAGCTATATATGACCAAGTGGATAAATATTCTAATGTATACATTCAAAAATATATATTCAGTGACTATTAGGATTCAGATACTATTCTAGGTTCTTGGGCTATATCAGTAAATAAAACAAAGATCCCTATCTTCATAGAGTTCAGTGAATTATACAGTATGTCAGAAGGTTATGAGTGCTATGAAAAGAAATATAGCAGTGTAATGGGTGATTGGAAGTGCTAGGGGGTTGTAGTAGTGGTAGTTGCAATTTTAATGTTGGTCTTGGTAAGTCTCATTGAGAAAGTGACATTTGAGAGATATGACTTAAAGAAAGTGAGGGAATCTATCATGCTGATATTAGAGTGAGGGCCCCAAAGTGGGGACTGTCTCAAAAAATTTAAAAAGTCTGAAATCATACAAACTATCTGACCACAATGGAATTACATTAGAGATCCACTGCTAGAAGAATTCTGAGAAAACACAAATATTTAGAAACTAAACAATACACTTCTAAATAGCTCATAGGTCAAAGAACTCACAAAGGAAATTTAAAAAATATTGTCAACTAAATGAAGAGGAAAACACAGCATATCTAAATTTACAGATGTAACTAAAACAATGTTAGGAGAGAAATTTGCAGTTTTAAACACCTATATCAGAAAAGAAGAATGCTTTTAAACTTATAATCTGAGCTTCCAAACTAAGGAAACTAGAAAAAGAGCAAACTAAACACAAAGCAAGGAAAAAGAAGAAAATAATAAAGATTAAGGAATAAATCAGTGCAAGAGAAAACAGAAAAATAGAGAAAAATCAATGAAACCAAAAGCCGATTCTTTGAAAAGTTTAACAAAATGGCAAACCCTTAGCTAGACCAACCACAAAAATAAGAGAGAAGACAAAAATGACTAAAATCAAGAATTAAAGATGGGGCATCATTACTGACACTACAGAAATGGAAATGATTATAAGGGATTACTATAAATAACTTTAGGCCAACAAATTAGAAAGTTTAGATGAATGGACAAATTCATAGAAAGATACAAATTACCAAGCAGACTCAAAAATAAAGAGAATAGCTGAATAAACCTATAATAAGTAAATCAGTTGAGTCAGTAATCAACAGTCTACCCACAAAGAAAAGTCCAATTCCAGATGTCTTTATTGGTAAATTCTATCAAATATTTAAAGAAATAATATATCAATCATGCACAAACACTCTCAGAAAATAGAGGAGGGAATCTTTTCCAACTTATTCTATGATGTCAATACTATACTGAAACCAAAGCTAAACAAAGACATCACAAACGAAGAAACACAAATATCCCTCATGAACAGACACAAAAATCCTTAACAAAATATTAGCAAGTCTGCCTAATTCAGCAATATATAGAAATGATGATA